CCTGTGAAGTTGATTGTTTAAAAATTCAGATGAACCAACTAATGCATACACAGCTCCACAAACGTGCTCGGATACACGTATATACCCTGGGGCCCCTAGAACTGAGATAGACTGGGGTGTATCTAAGAAATAGAACATATTGCTTCTCTATCTGAGAGAACTTCTGAGAGAGGGCAAAACCAGGCAGGTAACATAAGGAAGTAAAGTCAGGGGTAAAAACTAACTGGCTCTTCCCGTCTTATTTTCTTTCTACTTTTACTGGAAGCATGAATGGCAGAGAAATACTTTTTCCCTATTTCTACCACAAGAAGAGGAAGTCTGCAGTGAATGTGTAAACATTGAATAGCATGTGATAGACCCCACTTGACTGCGGAACTGGGTGAGCAACGTTTAACAGTTGGGTGGAGAGGCCAGCAGGGACAGTGTGACTGCGAATGTCGACTCTGTTGTCACATCTTTCTTTCTCTTCACCCAAGATAATCTAGAAATCTAGATTATTTAAAATGTCGACAACTCATTCATATATTTAAAAAACACAATGCAGAACAAATAAATATGTCCATATGTTTACAAGAAGGAGCTAGCATATGAGCCAACAGTTTGGATCCTGAGCCAAGCTAAAATAGGCCTGATAGCCTAATGAGATGCGGGATACGGTGATCTGGAGTGGGATGGAGGATGGCTCTCCGGTTCTAGACTTGGATAACAGGCCATGGCATTCACTGGGATGGGTGACACATGGGAAGAGCAATGGGGAGAGGTATGAGTTTAATTTTGGACGCGGACCCTAGGTACTTATGGGACATCTGGGAAGAGAGATTTAGCCTGGAGACACAGATTTCAGAAGCATGGCAGTGATATAGTAGAGGAAACTACGAGAATAGCTGAGTTGATTCAGGGAGAACTCATGAAACAAGATGAGAAGATTCTGGGTAATACCCTGGCAAACATCCACATTTAAAAATGGGGGTGATTTAAAATTATTCATAAAGGAGGATTAGAAGGACTATCCAGAGAAAAGAAGAATGAGGACATTTTAGTATCAAGGAATTTGAGGAAGGAAGAAGGGTTAAGGAGAGAGCCATCAACTATGTCAAATGTTGCAGAAATCCCAAGCCACTAGATTTAGCCATAATATGTCACAGGAGGCACTACAGTGAATAGAAAGTCAATGGTGCTCTGGCCTGGTGCTCAGTGGGTTAGAGCGTCGTCCCAATAGGCCAAGGTTGTGGGTTCGATCCCCAGTTAGAGTATTACAGAAATCAACCAATTAATGCATAAATGAGTGGAACAACAAATCTCTCTCTCTCTTTCTCTCTCCCTTGCTCTCTCTCTCCCTCTAAAATCAATCAATCAATCAGTCAGTCAATCAAACAATCAATCAAGAAAGTCAACTGCATTTGGGGTCAGACCTGAATTTGGAATTCGGTTTTGCCACTTACTTAATGCATAACCTTGGACAGTAAAAAAACCTCTCAGAATATTAGTTTACTCATCCATAAAAATGGGTAACACTACTAATATATCTCAAAAAAGCCATAACAGCTACAGCACATGGCTTTGTGAGAATTTGTGGTAAGTAAAATAGAGACTCTGTCCTCAGGTGGCTTATGTTCTAGTGGGAGAGTCAATAATGGAGTACACAAATTAACATATAATTCAGGAAGTGATAGAAAAAAGCAGAAAGAAGAAAGTAATATAAAGGCTCCCGCAGTGGTTCTCAACCTTCCTAATGCCACGACCCTTTAATACAGTTCCTCATGTTGTGGTGACCCCCAATTTCATTGTTACAAATTGAACATAATTAAAGCATAGTGATTAATCACAAAAACATTATGTAATTATATACGTGTTTTCCAATGGTCTTAGGCGTCCCCTGTGAAGGGGTCATGACCCACAGGTTGAGAACCGCTGGCTTAGAGAGTAACTTGGGAGGGTGGGTAGTTTTCATTTTAACTTGGTAGAGAGGTTACCTCCAAGTGAATGACATTTGAAGTGAAATTTGAATGAAGAGAGAGAAAGACATTTGATGGTCTAAGTGAAGTGTAAAAGTATGTGTGTGTGGTGGGGCCGGGGGGCGGGGGGGCGGGGGGAGAGTAGGTTTGGCCTGCTCCAATATATCAAGAAAGCCTGTGTGGCTAAAGTGGATTAGGAAAGCATAGGAGATGAGTTCAGAGAGGTGAGTTGGCCATACAAAGAGATTAAAACGTAAACAAAGACTAATATGGAGCCATTGGAGAGTGTTGAGCTTGGAGGTGATGTGCGAAGATTTACATGTAAGAGGTCCCTCTGATTTCTGTGCAGAGAATAAATGACAGTAGAAGCTGTTACAGGATTTTACTGTTGAGCCTACAAGAGATGATGGAGGCTTGGGCAAGGCCGCAGTTGGGGAAATTTAGGCTATATTTCAAATGTAGATTCAACAGGATCAGTTGATGGACAGGATGTGAAGTTTGAGGATTTGACCTCTAGGTCTTTGGCATAATCCACTGAGTGAATGGTGGTACCGCTTCTTGAGAAGGTCGGACCTGTTGAAGAGTGGGATTTCAAAAGCTAGACTAAGAACATGAGTCTGTCTGGGCCTGTTAGGTTTGAAGAACTATTAGATATCCAAGTGGAAAGTTAATTAGGCGTTTGGGATTTTAGGGGAAAGCAGAAGCTAGAGAGATCAATCTTGGAGTACAATATGATTAGATACGACCACCCAGGGAGTCAGTGTTAATAGAGAATAGGGCCTGTGATTGAATTCTCCAAAGTTTAGAGCAAAAATTCTCCAAAGTGGTATGAATGAAACCAGGAGATTGGAGCACGGTAGCCTGGAGGCTACTTGAGAACGTGTTTTAACAGGAAAGGAGTAAGCAATGTGTCAGATGCTACAGAAAAGGCGCGTTTGATGAGTCTGTGGATTGTATATGATCTTCAAGATCACTGGATTTGATCTTCATGAGGAAAGCCATTTGAAAACTGGAAGGGAACAGTTATCCTGGATTCATGGAAGTAAAAACCTAATTGAAATGGGTAGAGGAACAAAGGATAAATAAAGAAGTGGAGACCATGGGTCAAGTGTACTAAACTCTCTCAACATCTATAAGAGCCGTCCAATCCCTAAAAGTGTTGTGCAGAATTCTGGGTGTGGGTAACAAGCTGTGTTTTCAGGAAGAGAAGCCATGACTTCACCATGTATTTAAAGAACTGCGTCACAATAACCCTGCACCAGCAGGTCCGGTGGCTGGCCCAGAGCTGCCAACACTCTGAGACTAAGCTTGTGGCCAAGGGCATGGGGCTTTCAGCCATTTAAAAAAAAAGAAGAAGAAGAAAAAGAAAAAAAAATAGCAGTTTGTTTTCCATAAGTAGAGTCCCTTTAAAACTTAACCTTAAAGAATTTATTTTCAGCTTTGAAAAATATTTCTAGGCTAAAATAGTATCTCTCTGCCACCTCTAATGGATATTATTAAAATGCAGCCCACGCATTCTCTATTTTATTTGAACATATTTGAAGAGATTGCCTATAAAAATGAATTTTATAAGCCAAATGATATTTCCTATTCATGTAGCCTGTCTTATAATCAACTATATACAGTAAGAATAATACAACATATGCCCAGCCGGCATAGCTCAGTGGTTGAGCTTTGACCTATGAACCAGGAGATCATGGTTTGATTCCAGTTGGGCACATGCCTGGGTTGCAGGCTCGATCCCCAGTGGGGCGCATGTGGGAGGCAGCAGATCAATGATTCTCTCTCATCAATGATATTTCTATCTCTCTCTCCCTCTCTGAAATCAATAAAAATATATATATTTAAAAAGATTAATATGACATCCAAATAGTATATAAATCATAAATTTATAAGTGTATAAATGAAAGTAAACCCCAAATATAATAGTATAGACTTAAACAGTGTTTAACCACCAGGAAAATGGTATGTAGTCTGGGTTTCGGGGAAACAGGTTAGTGGTCATTCTCCATCCATTCACAGGAGTTCAAACTAGACTGTAACTCTCCTTCCAGATACCACATGAGCAAAATTGCCCACTTTGCAGCTCTCTCATTCTGTAAGACTCAGTGACATGGGAGACCTGAAAAGATGTTTCTCTGGCTGGTTTTGAAAAAGAGAGCAAATACGTCAGGAGTCTGAAATTATGCACCTTGTGGCCTGCAGTGTCTGCTCGTAGGGATTTTTAGAGAATTCAGGCCTTACCTGCTGGGTGTTCAACAATCCTCAGAGTCATGTTTTCAATTCTTTTATTTCTCCCAGCAATGCTGGTACCCAAGAGAGTTTCTATAAAAAACTGATGATTTGAAGGGCATGAAGTATGCACCTAGTAATCACTAAGAAAGAACTGTGAAAATGAGGGGCTCCAGCTGTTTCGAAATTACATCTGTGAGGGATTCGGATTCTAGAGCATGTCTTTTCCCCCAGTGAACCACCAGTGAAAGCTCTCATACCATATAACTCATACACCATCTGTATGTGCAATAAATCCTTAGATAAGTTGACTTATTTAAATGACTTAGATTCTTCTGGGTCAGTGATTTGCACAGCAGGGCCCCTTGACCTGCAGCATCATCACCTGGGAATTTGATACAAATGCAAATTATTGAACCCCACCCCAGACCTACTGAGCCAGTTTCCAGCAATCTGCTTTTGATGAAATCTAACGCTGGGACCACTGTTATTGGTCATACCTATGCTGATAAAGATCAAAGATGTTGTGTTTTTCAGGCAGTTGGGGAAAAATTCTGCTTGTCATTAAATAGAAATCACTTCAAAAAACCTGAGATAGCAATGTAGATACTGATATTTAATAATTTTTTCTTCTATATATAACAGCTTATTTGGGCATAGGCAAATAATTATAAAATTAGCTCAATAATTTCCTCAAAGAACCATTTTTCTTTTGATAGTCATGATTTTGCAATAAATAATCACTCTGCAATCAAATAGGCAATTTCATATCCATTTCACAAATACTCTACACACATTTGTCTCTGAGATTACCTGCAGGTGTATTTTTAATGTGGCATTCATCTCTCTTAATATAGAGTTCTTCTTCCAGTACTTCCTTAATTCTCTTGTGTGGCTCACAATATAAAAATTTCTTCCCTATAAAGACATTAACAAAGTTGGTTACATACCATGAATTCTTCCCAACCTTCTAGCCATTACACTTATATGGGTAATTATTTTTTAAAAAAGACATATCCTTTTATATCAATGCAGATGATAAATCCTGCAGACTCTGTTTTGGGAAGATCTCCTCGTTCTTTTGGGACTTCATACTGTTATATAATTCCGGAACTTTTGGGTAGTTTAAGATACCTCTTTTAGGTATTATGTGGAAATACATGGAGTTTTCTTCATTAGCTTCAAGAACACTTTCAGCCCTAGCCGGTCTGGCTCAGTGCTGGTCTGCCGACTGAAGGGTCCTGGGTTCAATTGGGGTCAAGGGCATATACCTCGGCTGCAGGTCCTCCCCGGCCAGGGGCCTGGACAGGGCACGTGCAGGAGGCAACTAATCGATGTTTCTCTGACACCAATATTTCTCTCTCTTCCCCCCTCTCTTCTACTCTCTCTTCAAATTAATGGAAAAATATCCTTGGGTGATAATTAAAAAAAAAAAAGAACGCTTTCATTTGTTTTATAAAATCCTATTAAAAACTTACTCTGTGCCAGGCATTTGGCTAGGGGCAAAGGACATAGCAACGGATAATTCAGATGTGTGCATGGAGTCTCCAATGCAGATATATCACAGAACAGCCTCAGCACTATTTAGGCATCACTTTTAGAGACTGAACCTGAACTGTAGTAGTGAATCACTATGGACCTATGACTTTGTCCTGGCCTCGAACCTGGCCCTACAGGACATCACTGCAATGGTGGAGAACCGTGTTATTTGTTCTAAGTACCTTAGCTATATTTTTTTCAGCTCTGTGCTATCTGACCCTGTCTGTCTCCCCAGTCTCTCCTGTTGGCCTTTCTCTCTTGTTCTCTGAGCTGTAACATGGCCCTCTTGCCCATTCCCACATCTATTTTCTCTGCCTAAAGTGTGGTTCTCCTAGTATATTTGCACAGGGAACTTCCATTCAAATTTCAGGTGTAGCCTTAAATTTTTCCTTTTTTAAAAAAAATATTTTTATTGACTTCAGAGAGGAAAGGACAGGGAGAGAGAGATAGAAACATCAATGATGAGAGAGATTCATTGATTGGCTACCTCCTGTACACCCCCTACTGGGGATTGAGCCTGCAACCCTGGCATATGCCCTGACCAGAAATTGAACTGTGACCTCCTGGTTCATAGGTCAATGTTCAACCACTGAGCCACACTGGCTAGGCAAATTGCAGTTCCCTGACTCCACAATCTCAAAATGCTCCTGGTTATTTCTCCTCATAGCATTCTCCTCTTTCTTTAATTTCATTTATTGCCATTTATATATGGTTTTATTTATTTTACATGCAACTACTTATATAACTAGTAACATATCTTCCTTACCAGACCATAAATAACCTAACCTAAAGGCAGGGATGTCTATTTAGTCACAGCTTGGCATAATAATAGATGCTTGGCAAATGTGTGTTCAAATAGTATCAAGCATTGTTAAATTAGATAGAGCTCGCCCTGGCCGGTTTGTCTCAGTGGATAGAGCGTTGGCCTGGGGACTGAAGGGTCCTGGGCTTGATTCCGGTCAAGGGCACATGCCTGGATTATGGGCTCATCCCCAGCGGGAGGTGTGAGAGAAGCAGCTGATAAGTGATGTTTCTATCTCTCGCTCCCTCTCCCTTCCTCTCTGAGAGCAATAAAAATATATATATTTTTTAAAAATTGGATAGAGCTGAAGACTATTCTATGTGCATGTCTGCCAATGAAGCCTTGAGAGTGTCAGGGAACCAGTAGTTCTAGTCTCAGTACTCAAAAGCTCAAAACAAAGAACCATGGAACACCTAAACAATAAAATAATTTAGCTATTTAATATTTGGCTTTAAACTCCCAAAGATATGGCAGATGCATCATCTTTTCCGAACTAACCAATAGAGAACACAAGTGAATAAATTTGGCTTATGTGCAGACTGGCCCAAATGGGGCAAGGGACCTGCTGCTTCTGGCCGTGGCCCTGGGTCATGCCTGGTCATGAAGACCCCACACACCCTTAGACAAGAACAAGGTAGAGATACTTTCTGCATCTCATTCTTGTTTCCCCAAAGCTAGGAGTCATGGGAATGAGAGATGGGATCAGCATTACTCCAGCTTAACTTTGGTTTAAATTTTTTTTGGTTAAAATTTAGGCAGAAAAGCTTTTAAGAAATGTAGCTAAGAAGGGAGAAGAGCCTAAAACAGGTTAGTAAAGAGGAAGAGACCACCTGCCTTAAGTTCAAGTCTCTTGACAATTTCAGCCCAGCTGCTAGAAGAATTTATATAGGAAATCACTAAAGTTTTGAGGAGCTAGTATAAGCAAATATTTCCTGACCCCAAAAAGAAATAGGAGGGAAGGAAGGAAGGAAGAAAGGAAGGAAGAAAGGAAGGAAGGAAGGAAGGAAGGAAGGAAGGAAGGAAGGAAGGAAGGAAGGAAGGGAGGGAGGGAGGGAGGGAGGGAAAAATAAAAAACTAGCAGCAGTTTAATGTTGATTCTTTACCAACATTGTGAATGAATTGGTCAACAGATTGATTGTGAGTACAATGAGGAGCTGTGATTACTGTGTTAAGGACTGCTGAAAACAATATTATTTCAGATAAAACTGTTTTGTTTTTTTTGTTAGGAGCTAATAACAATTGCTACAATTTATTGAATGCTACCATGCCCTAAGCATCATACATACATTATATCTTTCTCACAATCACCCTATGGGTAGGTAACTTCCAAAAGTCACAAAACTCATCGAAAAAATTAAAAGTCTTGCCCACCTGATTCTTCCAAAACCAAATTACTAACCAAGCTAGATTAGGGAGATGTGGCCACAACATATCTGCATTGCAGCCAGGCATTTGATAAAGTGCATCTGTAGGAGACAGAATGCCCATGTCATAGATGCTGATTGACAGGTCAGGGGCTTCTAGAGGCTCTTCTTGGAATTGTTGAGATCACCATCTAATTTGCGCACTTGGATGCAGAAAATGCCAGCAAACTAACCAAATGTGAGAATGGCACCAACTTGGTGAAGGGCAAACTCAGGACTCAAAGGGCTACTTCTATACCTGGAACGAAGTGCTAAAATCCATAGGACGGTATGGGGGGGATAACTATACCTACTTGTATTTAGGAATTATGGACGGCATAGACTGCTTTTGTTAATGTATTAATAGTATAATGTGTCTGCCAAAACAGCTAAGGCAATTTTGGATCCCCTTAATAGGAGTGTCATGTTCAGATCAAAGGAGGATATAGTCCCACATACTATTCTAATCTGATCATACCTAGAATACTGGATTCAGTGATTCAGTAAACTGGAGAGCATCGGAAGAGGTCAACCATTATGGTGTGTGGGCTACAAATTATTTTAAAGGTAACACTGAAGTCCATGAAAGATTTGATAGGTGCTCAAATTAACCTTTATACAATTCAAGGATGAAATTATATCATTTTAATGGGAAAGGACTATATTCTACCTGTGTAGATTTGAGAACATATCTGTGATTAGGGAGTGCAAGCTGTAGAGAGACTGCAGACCTTTCCAAAAAATAGACTGAAAACATTTGAAAATTGACAGAGTATTTTGTGTGGGTGTGAACAGCCTGTCTCTACTTAGGCTGAGGCCCTGAAAGGAGGTTCTCGGGGAGGCTGAGGAGGGAACTCTAAAGGACTCTGTGAGCTTCCAGAAAGTTTAGACTCCTGCCTCAATTCATTACTCACTTCCCTGCAACTTGCCCAATGCCTGGTGTGAAGTAAGGACTCAGTATTTGTTGAGTTGATGAGTGAATGGTTAATTCTACCTTTTACACCTACAGCCACAGGAATAAAGAACCTTTAAATTCTAGCATCTTTAATGAGAAGAGTCCCAGATAAGAACTTTGTCAAAATAAGGAATTATTTAAATATACTAAATACTTCCATATACTGAATTAAGTTGCTCTAAGGCAGCGGTTCTCAACCTGTGGGTCGTGAACAATGAAAATACATCCTGCATATCAGATATTTACATGACGATTTATAACAGTAGCAAAATTACAGTTATGGTTGGGGGTCACCACAACATGAGGAACTGTATTAAAGGGTCGCGGCATTAGGAAGGTTGAGAACCACTGCAAGGCCTCTGCGTGCCGAGTAATAATGCATATAATCAGTTACAGTGGAAGCTGATGCTGAGGGAAGAGGCCCTTTCACCAGGAGGCAGAGGTTTTGGGGCTTCTTGATGAGGTCTTGCAGGAGGACTGTGTGTCATCCCCTGGGCGGGAGACTGAGCCTCTTCAGCCCAACTCTCCCTCCGGGGAACCGCTGAGCTGGGAGGTAGCTGCAGGAACAGAGACAGCTCTCCAGAGACTCAACAAGGAGCTGCAGAAGGGCTGGAAACCGCTGGGATTCCAACCTCTTCGGCTTATTATCTTCACCATCATCATTCCTTAGCACCTGCTGAAAACCTGTGGGGCGCCAGGGGCTGGGAAACATCTGTAAATCCATGGAACAATATGGATGAGCACTGCGACCTGGCGCAGACTCAAGTTACTACGGCGTCGGCCTTGACTGTGGACCAGAACTGCCTTCTGTGCGTTTGGCAGGGCAGGGAGGAGACAGCAGGGTAAAACGTGGCCTAAAATTGTGAGATTCTAAAAGGATTAGGTAGTAATTTATGGACTGAAAGTCCAAGAGATGAGTGTATGTGTGTGAAGTGTTACAGAAGACCGGAGAAGAACCAAGCAATGCTTAGAGAGATGGAGTTACACTTTATTATTATTATTATTATTATTATTATTATTATTATTATTACGCATGGGCCGAGAGAAAACTGTATTTCAAATTCTGGGCCCCAACATGGAGGAAGTTTCCCTATTCATATCTTTTTACCTTCTTTGTCTCCCAAATATGGGGTTTTCCGGTCCCCTTTGCAAGTTCTTAAAGAGACCTGTGTGCTGGGGCTTTGAGACCTCAACCAAAGGAAGCCTGACCTGGTGCCAGCACTGATAGCTTCATCTGGGGAAGGTTTATGGCCTCTCTGGATTGGGAGTAGTCTTATTTTCCTTATTATTTAAGCCAGCAAGCATTTATAGGAGCCAAAATGGCAGGGTTAAAATTTCAAACAGCAGTTTTTATATAAGATGGATGCTTCAGAAGTATTTCTCCAGCACTGGCTGAGTGACCGTGGAAGAGTCACTTCCTTTCCTCTAGGCTAGACCTCAGTTTCCTGGTCTGTAAAATGAAGGAATTGGCAAACATGATCTACATGTTTCCGTGTATAAATTTTATATATTGAATTATTTACTATATATATATATATATGACATTTTAATGACTTTATATTTTGATACATTTTTATGTATACATTTTTCCCCCCCAATACCTTCCAGGCCAATGACGGGGCCAATTAAGTCGGAGGCTACCGGGGGAAATGGCCTGGGTGCTTTCCACCACAGTGCCATCACCTCTCCTTTTGCCAAAACAGCAGCTCCACCCCCGCCCTCCCAAACCTTCCCGGCTGCAGCCAGTCTCACTCCGGTCCCCCCTACCCCACCCCCGGTTCCTCTCACCGGTTCTCCACACCGCAGGTCCCTCTGCGCAGGGTCCGCGGCTGCAGGGGAACTCACACTGTTTGTGGGACTCCCGGGGGCCGCCGTCGCTGGGCTCCCCGCGCGCCCCGCACTCCAGCCCAGCCGGCTGCCCAAGCTCCTGCGGGTCGCTGCCCGCCTCTGGCGCCGCCACCATCGAGTCCTCCACCCTCATGCCGCGGGCGTCTTCGCGGCTGGCCTTCCCAGCTTCGCCGCAGGGGGCCGAGAACGCGAGGCGTCTCCGGTTGCCATAGTGACTGCGCTCTTCCCCGCCCCCAGCAGCTCTCAGCCGGCTTCTCCCCCGCCCCAGGCGTCCTGCGCGCCCAAGAAGTCGTTGAAGTTAGCCGGCCGCGCTTAGCTACTGACCAAAGCAAAGGATTTGCCATCAATCTCTCCTTTGCTCCACACGTCAGTTTGGCAAGAGAGGCTTTACTATTCTCGGGTAGGGAAACTAAGATTCAGAAAAAGCTAAGGAAAAGGTCTGAGGCCAGTCAACACAGCGGGTATCCTAATTCAGAAAAGTCTAGCACCAAAGCCCAAAGAATAGATCGCCACCCAGAACAAGTAGGAGCGGGGGCAGGTACTGGGCAGGTGGGTTGAGGGTAAGGTTATGCTTTATGGCGTCTCGCTCCCTGCTGCACACAGAACGTGATGGAATAAATGAATGTTGAGGATTCCCAACTTTTGGATTCTAAGTTTTTAATCGTTGTTGTTGTTGTTAAACAACTCTTGTAGTTTCCAAGCACTTTTGTATTCACAATCCATTTCAATCTATATAACAACCAATTTTACAGGTGAGGAAATCAAATTCAGAAAAATTTGATTTGATAGCAAATGGGAAAACCAAGAGTTTTGTTGCTTTTGTTTGTTTGGGCGGTTGTGTGTGTGTGTGTGTGTGTGTGTGTGTGTGTGTTTTGGCAGCCATATAAAAGAGGGAATTATGCTGTGTTAATTTTATGAAAGCTAAATGTGCATTATTTTACAGAGTTAAAGAGTTCTACAAGGCTGGTAACCAAATACAGGGGACCACATCTGCCTCCATTTCACCCCAGAGGCAGCCACTTTCACTTCTTTTGGCTGATAACGTACTATTTACAATCATATAACCAAGTGCTCCTTTTGCTGCTTTTTATTTTTCAATGTTAGGTGTATGTTGATTTTCTACCACGGAAGACAAGAAGTTAGCAATCATTCATGCTCACCATCTATTCATATCCTTACTGCCTCCTTCACCTCCTAATACAGATAAGCTAAAATTTTGGCTGGAGCATTTTACATAATCATGACTATGTAAACTCCAGTGACAGCCACACCAAGTCATATCCTTTTCCTTCCTGGAGTTAATAATTGCCTTGTTTTTTAATTTGCTTGATTTTTTAATGTCCATATCACTAATCAATTCCCACACTCTTCGTCCTTGTGTAAATCTTTTTTTTAAAGAAGAATTTATTGATTTTTAGAGAGGAATTGAGCAGGAGAGAGAGAGAAACATTGATGTGAGAACATAACATCCATCACTGTCTCCTGCACTGGGGATCCAGATGCAACCCAGGCATGTGCCCTAAGCAGAAATTGAGTCGGCAATCTTTCCATGCACGGGAGGACACCCAACCAACTATGCCACGCCTGCCAGGGCTGTAAATATTTTAATAAGTTCAAACACATGAGGAATTCTATCCATTTCATCTTTTCTAGAAAGTCTCTTCAGAGTCCGGACTGGTTGGTTGCTCTGTATACCTGTGGTTGCACAGCTGCTGTCTAAGGATTTCCCTTCACCATCATACCTCGCCTGAACTGGATCCCTTACTTGTGCATCCCATCTTTTTCTCTTTCTTGGTTGATTCACTTATTTGGAAGAGCGTATCTCCAGTTGCCCTTTGATAACTGGTCTATGGGAGATAAAAGGTCTAAGTCCTTACAGGATTACAAGTGTCTTTATTTTATTTTCTATTAAAGTAGAGGTCTAGCTGGATAAAGAACTCTAAATTGGAAAGAATTTTTCCTCAGAATTTTAAAGTCATTGCACCATGGTCTTCTGGAATCCACTGCTACCATACAATTCTGCGGTCATTCTATTCCTCATCTCTTGTATAGAACCTGTTTTTTCTTTCTAGAAACTTGGAGAATCTTCTCTTTGTCTTCATTGGTTTGAAACTTCATGATGATACACCTTGATATGGGTCAAATTTTCAACAATTTTACTGGGCATTCAGTAGATCATTTCAACCTAGAAACTCATGTCCTTCACTTTAGAGACTTAAAAAAAAAAATCATTTTATTGCAGTGTCTGTTTTCTCTGTTCTCTCTGGAACCCTGTTATTTGAATGTTAGATCTCCTGATTTGTCCTCTAATTTTCTGACCTATTTTATATCTGAACTAGAGGCCCGGTGCGCAAAAATTTGTGCATGTAGGGGGGCGGTCCCTCAGCCCAGCCTATGCCCTCTCACAGTCTGGGACCCCTAGGAGGATGTCCACCTGCTGGCTTAGGCCCGCTCCCTGGGGGAACGGGCCCAAGCTAGCAGTCAGACATTCCTCTGGCAGCCCGGCAGCCCTCAGGGATGTCCACTTGCCAGCGGGGAGCAGGCCTAAGCTTCAGTCGGACATCCTTAGCGCTGCTGAGGAGGCAGGAGAGGCTCCCACCACCACTGCTGTACTGGCAGCCATCAGCCTGGCTTGTGACTGAGCAGAGCACCCCCTGTGGGAGCACACTGACCACCAGGGGGCAGCTCCTGCATTGAGCGTCTGCCCTCTGGTGGTCAGTGTGTGTCATAGTGACCAGTCATTCCCAGTCTTTCTGCTGTTAGGGTCAATTTGCGTATTACCCCCTTTTTATATAGGTTAGAGGCTTGGTGCATGGGTGGGGGCTGGCTGGTTTGCCCTGAAGGGTGTCCTGGATCAGGGTGGGGGTTTTCTGCGCTGCCTGGCCAGCCTGGGTAAGGGGCTGATGGGTATTTGCAGCTGGTCACACCCCCTTCAGGTTAGGGGTCCCCACTGGGGTAACTGGCCAGCCTGGGTGAGAGGCTGATGGCTGTTTGCAGGCTGGTCACACCCCCTTCAGGGTGGGTGGTCCCCACTGGGGTGCCTGGCCAGTCTGGGTGAGGGGCCGAGGGCTGTTTTCATGCTGGCCAAGCCTGCCGGCGACGGAAGCTCCTAGCCTCTCCTTTTTTCTTTCTTTCTTTTTTTTTATTCTGGGATTTATTTACCTTCTATAATTGAAACTTTGTAGCCTTGAGAGGAGCTCAGAGCCAGCCAGGGCGGGTGGGAGGAAAGCCTCCTGCTCGCTCCAGCTCTGTGGCCACAGCCGGCTGAAAGCAGGTATCTGGGATTTATTTACCTTCTATAATTGAAACTTTGTTGCTTTGAGTGGAGCTCAGAGCCACCGTGGCAAGCGGGAAGCTTGGCTTCCTCCATCATTGGGGCAACCAAGCCTCCTGCTTGCTCCAGCTCCATGGCTGCCGGCCGCCATGTTGGTTGGGTTAATTTGCATATAGTCGCTCTGATTGGCTGGTGGGCATGGCTTAAGGTGTAGCGAAGGTACAGTCAATTCGCATGTTTGTCTTTTATTAGTGTAGATTTTTGCACTACATTCTGGGAGATTCCTCATTATTTTCCAAACATTCAATTTTTCATTTCTGCTATCATGTTTTTAATTTCTCAGAGTTAGTTCTTTTTAAAAAATATATATTTTTATTGATTTCAGAGAGGAAGGAAGAGGGAGAGAGAGATAGAAACATCAATGATGAGAGAATCATTGATTGGCTGCCTCCTGCATGCCCCCAACTGGGGATTGAGCTTGCAACCTGGGCACGTGCCCTTGACCGGAATCAAACCAGAGATTCCTCAGTCCACAGGCCAACACTCTACCCACTGAGCCAAACCAGCTAGGGCTCTGATTATTCCTTTTTATATAACACATTGACTTTCTTTATATTATAATATCTGAGGATATTAATAATATACTTAATTTCCAACCTTTTCCCCTGTATAATTGCTGCCTCCTCCAAGTTATCTATTCCTGTTTTTTTTGTTTGTTTCTGTCTTAGTAGCTTTACTCTCTCTTCAGGTGATCCTTTACCATCTTGCCCTGCCTAGTAGTGCAGAATATGAACCTGTACATACAGGTGGAGATTATTGACTGGAAGTTTCACTGATGGTTTATCTGTCTGGGCTGGTTAGTTGGGGAACCCCTGATGTCTATTTTAAGATCGATCTCTCCAACTGCTCAGATTCTCCATGAGGTGACCCCTTTTGTCTCCCTCCTGGAGGGTATCTTCATTCTGGTGCCAGCACCCTGGGAAGTGAGTGGTAGAAGAGAACCGAAGACTGAGTATGAAATAACCCTGTTTCAATGTGGTGGTCCTGCCCCCATTTGTGCTTTATACCTTCCAGTCTGGAGAGCCCGTTTGACTTCCTCCAGAGCATTACCTCCAGTCATCATCTGGGGTGGAGTCATCCATCTAGTTGCTTAGAATGAGGGGCCTGGAGGTCTAACTGCTTTATTATTATTGTGATAAGATATAGATAACATAAAACTTACTATTTTAACCATTCTAAGTGTAAACTCAATGGCATTAAGTACCCTCACAATGTTGTATAGCCATCATCACTATCTATTTCCAGAACTTTTTCATTGTCCCAAACAGAAACTCTGTACCCATTAAACCCAAATTCCCAATTTCTTCCTCTCCCAGCCCCTGGTAACCTCTATTCTGCTTTTTGTCTGTATAAATTTGGCTACTTTAGATACCTCTTATAAGTGGACTCATACAGTATTTTTCCTTTTGTATTTATTTTGTTTCACTTAGCATATTTTTTAAAATGTACTTTTTATTGCAGGGGTCCTCAAAATTTTTAAACAGGGGGCCAGTGCACTGTCCCTCAGACCGTTGGAGGGCCGGACTATAGTTTAAAAAAAAAACTATGAACAAATTCCTATGCACACTGCACATATCTTCTTTTGAAGTAAAAAAACAAAACGGGAACAAATACAGTATTTGTATTTGCATGTGGCCCACGGGCCGTGGTTTGAGGACCCCTGTTTTATTGATTTCAGAGAGGAAGGAGAGGAAGAGAGATAGAAACATCAATGATGAGAGGGAATCATCGATTGGCTGCCTCCTGTATGCCCCTCCACTGGGGACCGAGCCCGCAACCTGGGCACGTTCCCTTGACCAGAATCGAATCTGGGACCCTTGAGTCCACAGACCAACGCTCCATCTACTAAGCCAAACCGGCTAGGGCATCGATATGTTTTTAAAGTTAATCCATGCTCAGCATGTGTCAAAATTGCATTCTTTTTAAGGATGAATAATATTCCATTGTATGTACTATATACCACATTTTGTCTATTTGTTCATCTGTTGGTGGACATTTGGATTAAACATTTCCACCTTTTGCCAATTTCCAATAATGCCACAATGAACATTAGTGCACAAATTGCTTGTTTGAGCCCCTACTTTCAATTCTTTTGAGTATGTACCTAGAAATTGAATTGCTGGATGATATGGTAATTCTATGTTTAACTTTTTGAAGAACCATCAAACTTCTTCAAGTCACTGCACAATTTTACATTCCCACCAGCAATGCACAAGGATTCCAATTTCTCTAACCCTTGCTAACATTTGTTCTCTCCTCTTGCTCTTTCTCCTTTCATAATGCCTAGCTATCCTAATTAGGGTGAAGTGGTATCTCTTTGTTGTTTTTATTTGCATTCCATTAATGCCTAGTGATGTTGAGCATCTTTTCATGTGCTTATAGGCTAGTTGTACATTTTTCTTGGAGAAATGTCTATTCAAGTATTTTACCCATTTTGAATTGTGTTCTTTGTTGTTGAGTTGTAGTTCTTTATATATTTTGGATATTAATCTCTTATGATAAGTATGGTTTTAAATATTTTCTCCCATTCCATTGGTTGTCTTTTCACTTTGTTGATAAGAGTACTTTAAATGTTTTAATTTTGCTATAGTCCCTACTTATATATTTTTTCATTTGATACCTATGCTTTTAGTGTCATATCTAAGAAATTATTGATAAATTCAATATCATGAAGATGTTTTCCCTATGCTCTTTTCTTTTTTTTTAAAAAAAAATATTTTATTGATTTTTTTACAGAGAGGAAGGGGGAGGGATAGTTAGAAACATCCATGAGAGAGAAACATCCATCAGCTGCCTCCTGCAGACCCGCTACTGGGGATGTGCCCGCAACCAAGGTACTTGCCCTTGACCGGAATCGAACCTGGAACTCTTCAGTCCACAGGCCGACACCACTGAGCCAAACTGGTCAGGGCCCTATGCTTTTTTCTAAGAGTTCTATAGTTTTGACTCTTACACAAGGTTGGGTAAGATTAGACTTACAGTTGTATGGAAAATAATACAATAATTAAAAAATAATAATACAAGAATAAACTATTTCACATACTCACCACTGTAAACCTACTTTTGCCCACCCTGTATTTAGGTCTTTGACCATTTTAACTGTTGTATTAACATTATAGTGTGATGTAGGAGTCCAACTTCATTCTTTTGCATGTGGATATCCAGTCTTCCCAGCACCATTTAGAGAAAAGGCTATTTATTTTCTCCATGGAATTGTCTTGACACCCTTGTCAAAAGTCAATGGTCCATAAATGGGAAGGTTTATTTCTGGGCTCTCAATTCTATTCCATTGATCATATGTCTATCCTTAATACCAATACCAGAATGTCACAGTTAACATAGTTTTCTAGTACATTTAAAATAAAAAAGCGTGAAGCCTCCAACTTTGGTGCTCAGTAACAATTTAGTGCTTCTTTCATCATGTTTGTAGTTCTCAGAACAAAGGTTTTGCATTTCTTTTGTTAAATTTATTCCAAAGTTTTTAAATTCTTTTTGATGGTATTGTAAATAAAATTTTCTTAATTTAATTTTCAGTTTGCTCACTGACAATGTTTAGAAAGGCAATTTATTTTTGTACATTGACCTTGTATCCTGAAAAATTGCTCATGTATTTATTAGTGCTAGTTTTTTCAATGGATTCCTTATGATTTTCTATATATAAGATCATATTATCTGTAAATAGATGTGCTTTTATTTATTTTCCAATCTGGATGCCTTTTATTTTCTTGCCTAATTGCACTGGGTAGAATTTCCAGTATAATGTTTAATAGAAGTGGTGAGAGTCGACATTTTTGTCTTGTTTTTGATCTCAGAGGAAAAACATTCGCCACTAAGTTAGGATGTTAGTTTTGAGTTTTATAGATGCCCTTAATTGGGTTAAGGAAGTTCCCTTCTAGTCCTAGACTGTTGAGTGTTTTTATCATGAAGATTACCTTCTTTGTGTATTATTTTAGTGGTTGCTTTAGTGTTTATAGTATACATCTTTAACTTTTCACAAACTACCTTCAAGAGATATTATACCACTTTAGGTATAGTTTTAGGACC